GTAGAGAGGTGGTGATAAGATTGTATGGCATATTTTCCTTAGACCCCGACGAGGCACTGTGTTGGAAAATTATACCTCCTTAATACCTTTAGAGGTATGGTATTGGAGATGATCTCCTTAGTACCTATTGAGGTATGGTGTTGGAGATTTGAGACTCCTTAATATTTGTGTAATACGGTGTTGGAGTTAATAACACCCCATTGTGTGTATTAGGGGAAACCATAGTTTGGAAGTAAGATAGAACACCTTTGGCCAGGTGATTCTACCACTAAAGGTGAGCTTAGGGCCAATGAGAGTGTACATTAGTCTAAGGCAAGCTTATGGTTTTGTGTCAAGGTGATTTGGAGGTTCGGTCAGTAGTGATCATGCTATATATTGTACATGTGGAAAAATGGTGAAAAGTGATGATTATAGTGGTAAAAGAAGTGAATTGATATATTATGTGAAATGCTATATTATGCTTTACTTTCATATTGTTGCATGTGATAGTCAATAGGAGTGAGTTATTTTGTTACTAAAATTTTTATCTCACCCTCGTGGTTATATTTTACAGGACAGAGCAGTGATCAGGGCAAGGAAAAAGAGTTTGAGCTTGTATAGTGGTGCCGTGGTCGTGTGAAAGCTTTGAGTTTGTGTAATGAATCAATTTAGCCTGTATATATGTAAATAATTTGCCATAGGAGTTTGCATGCATTTTTTGAAATGAGTTTTTAGTTGAAAGTGTATAAATTATGATGAATCTTTTCTTATGTGTGAAATTATGATGAAATGAGTAATTTAGAGCTAAGACTGAGTAGTAAATATGAAATGTGTGGATATGTGATAAAGAAAAAGGGGCCAAGTAGGCCAAAATGTGTTAAATTGTAAAAGGATGAGAAATATGGAAATTAGTTGTTGAGGGGTCAAATTTTGATATATATGTATGTATGTGATATATTATGGTTAATTAGGTGTAGTAGGTCCTTTTGGACTTGTTCAAGGCCTTATGTGGTTTGATGAGAGAAAGGGATCGATTTGAGCACTTGGGTGTGTGAATTTTTTTGTAAAAAGTGACTTTTTACACTTGAGTGTCCAAATTTTGATCGGACCATTAGATTGTGTCCAAGCCCATCTCATTGGCTAGCTTATGAAATATGCTTCATGTAGGCGATTGAATCATTCTGATTGGACGTCATATGTGAAAACGGCGCACGCCAAAAGTTTGTCATTTTGCTGTCAAAATGACAGAAAAAAGTTCAGACTAGCGTGCCACTACACATGACACAAAAAAGTTTGGGTGTATGGCTTTGTGCCATATGTCGCGGTGCACGTATTGCACACCATGGTGCATTGCCCATTTTTCTAGCTTATTTTGTGGTTTTAGTGCATGCAACTAGCATTATGAATGCATATAATTTACTTCCACTATGTGTTACTCAAATGTGTTAGGACTTTAGTAATTTTGCAAAACAAGTTTTGGCCAAAGCTTTTCAAACAAAATATCTGATTACTGATTTTTATGATTAATGTGGTGAATGGGTTAACTTTCTCCTATATTGAGCAGTTATAGGAGGAGGCTATATGATTAATCCTTATTATCCAAACGGTGTGTTAGAGTGTTGTCCTAGTAATATCGAGGTGGATATTACACAACATACCCAAATTCATAGAAATTTTGCATAAAAAGAGGAAGGAGAGGAATAGGAAGCTTACCTAATAGTGATTCTTGCTCAAAATGCTCTTGAAATGCTCTTAAGATAAAGCCCTAGCAGACCCCTAGTCCTCCTCCTTCGCCTCTCTTGTCTCTTTCTTTTCTCTCTTTGAAATCAAACATATTTCACATCTAGTTTAAGTAAGGATTTGGTTGTGCACTACCACACAATGTGCACAGTAAGTGTCACATGCTGTTTTGACATCCCACTTGAGCCTGGTTAATCTATAAATTATCTTAGTTCATTTTCAAGGCTGTCCAAAGGTCCACAAACTTTATTAGTGTCCCATAGACATTATTAATTCACAAATCTCTTATTTAACCAATATGCCCTTCATAAGCACTCAAATTTCAAAGTTGAAAACTCAAGATGTTACATTTTTCATATTAAACATAACTCTAATTTCACAAAACTCACAAATAATCCAAACAAGCAAATAAAATGATTAAATTATCCAATTATCTCAACCCTTTTGTTACCAAAGAAGGCTACCCTTAGATTTTATTGATTACTCAAGCCTCCCCTTACTCGAAGAGATCCAAATGATATTACCCTACAATTTCAAGCACTAATATATCAATTTTAAACTCTAACATGCATATTCCTAACCAGAATGGGTTAGCTGTATGTCACGATTCTTCATTTTTCATGAGGTTAAGGAGCTCTGGAACATTCCAAAACCCTCCAGAAGGCTCCCGAATAAGCTTAAGAGTGCTAGAGAGTGCAAGAATATTCTAAATAAGTCTACACAACTCTAGCCTCAATATTTTAATATTTGCTACTAGATCTTTCCATGTAAATATCTAGATATTTGTTGTAAATATCTAGGAGAGGATTCCAGAGAATCATTTGTAACCGTAGGATCAATTCAATCTCCACCGTCCATTAAGGAGGTGGGAAATATCTAGAACCAAGGGGGAGGCCTATAAATACCTCATCCCTCCTCATTTGTAACACACAACCCTTGAGTCCTCAAAGCAATATACTCTCACATTCTCCAAGTTCTCTTCCAAGTATCCTTTGCCCTCAAGCTTTCCCTTTCCTTAACTTAGCCAAGCATCTTCCTTTCATACGAGTCAAGCTTACTTAGCAACTTCCAATGAAGATTGTCTAAGTACTGCATGGGTTGAAAGACTAGCCCCGTGACATGTAACTCATAATTTCAAGCACAAATATCTCTTCATATCCTATAAACTCTTACAACTATCTAATAACTTTGTTTAGCTCCCATTAGGCTAAATAAACTCATTTCATAACCTACATTACTTCCAAACATCAATTTTAAGCTTAGGGTTCATCCAAATTCGAGAACCCATTCATAATACTCCATAAAAACACCAACCCTAACTTTGGAAACGTCAAACAACTCTTAATGGCTCAATTTGAATTAATGGGTTCGGCCAAACCTCCTAAAGAACTGAAATCATCATCTCCTTCTATCCAAAACCAATAGAAAATTGCATAAGTCGGAAGAGGAAAGGATTAGAGACTTACCCCAAGCTCTTGCTAGCCTTGAACCCTAGTAGCCTTAAGTTTTCCCTCTTTCTGATTCCCTCATTTCTCGTCTTTTTGTCTCACTAGCACACTTGTTTGCTTTAACTAAAATTCGACCATTCCACCATGGCAAATAGTACAAAGAGTCCAAGATAGTTATTCTCCTCTTTAGTTGGGCTTAGGTGGCCTAATACTAATGTTTTGAGACTTGGACTGTTAGACTACTCAAACGATCCCCTAGTAAAGAAAGCAGTTTAGTTCAATCATTTAACTCATTCTAGTAGTTGGTTTAAGTTAGCACGTTATTACTTGGGCAGGTTTTGAAAACTCACTAAAATTTGGAACTCAAAATGGTTAGATTGTTTTGAACCGTTTTTCTTTTTACTCTTATTTTAGTAATGAAAATTTTTATTCAATTTAGAAATATTAATGTCAATATAATTTTGTGTTGTTATAGTAAAATCTTGAATCTATAATTTTTTTTTGGCATTATATAAATGAAAGTATAGAGAAAATTGAAAACACATTTGCTTTAAAAGAATAGATAAGGTAAGTAAAATAATATACATATGAAAAAAATGAGAAAATTAAAATTTAATATATTATGACTAAACAGTTCTACATCGAGAATGATATTATCAATATTTTAATGTTTTATTTATATATATGTATATAAATACTATTTTTATTTAATTATTAGGTTACTAGTTCAATTATCGTCTAGCATGCTATACCATAAGAATCGTGATCCATTAACTTTTTCTGTTGATCTCCTAGTTCAATTTTTAAAACATTTCTAATATACCACATAGCCCACGATTAACGTTGCCAGCACATTCATTATGGCTCGTTTGGTAGGAAAGAATTGGAGCTAGAGAAATGGAAGTGGAACCAAAACCCCCCATTTCACATGTTTGGTATAGTTGAACCTTGTCTGTTGATTCTTGTTATCTTGTGAGTCATCGAAGATGAGGAACGAGGAGAAGAGTTTTAGATTTTTTTTTAGATCTATAATATTTTTGGATTTTTTTTTTGTTCGATTGCTATGAGGAACAACTATAAAAGAAAATACAGGCTTTGTATTTTCCATTAATTCCCTGTTTGGATTCCCATGAACTTCCAAATTTGTATTTCATGTTTTTTCTTTGTATTTTTTTGAAATTTGGTTCATGTTCTTCAATGATTTTGGGCTGTAAATGATGAAGTTAATTGTTCTTTTGGATTTGTTGTTTGATGGAAATTCATATTTGTTGGGCATTCCATGATTTATAATGGTGTTCATACCGATGCAGTGATGGTTGCGACTTGCGAAGAACGTGGAGAATTTTTTTTTTTAAATGATGGATATATTGGTCATTTCAAAAAATCAATATATTTTTTAGATAGAATTTTTAGCTCACTTACATGTGCATACTAAACATACTTATAAACTTCACTTCCACTTCCATTTCTACTTCTATTGCCATTTTTACTTTTTCTTCCATCAAATTCATTTCCCCATACCAAACAGGGCATTAAACCCATTAATTCTTTCTAATCATCCATAACATAATTAACATATCAAATTACTAAATTGCCCACTATTATCTTATTAATCACAGACAAAAATTTTGGGACATTCATATGTCCCAATTTTTAATATAGATTGCCCTGCCTTTTACAGTATTTAGTGTTCTTCAAAAAAAAAAAAATAAGGACAAGTTAGATCTTTGGCCTTTTAAAATTTTGACTATTCTTGTTGCTTTTTTTAAAAAAGAAAAAAGCTAGCAACAATAGCACCAATGGCCTATTGGTGTGGCACATTCCTCGGTTAAACCCGTGCCTCACATCGTTCAACCCGAGACTAATTTGGAGCAACCCATCACCCCCTGCCACTGTTAAGTCTAACCGGAAACCAGGAGATACAAAGAAAGAAAATCGCGGAGCCAGAGAGAAGACAGTGATTCTGTGGGACGCAGTGTGTTCGCAAGAATGTTCCTACGAGCAATCGCGCGGCCATTGATGGCCAAGGTGAAGCAGACCACGGGAATTGTAGGGCTTGATGTGGTGCCGAACGCTCGAGAAGTGCTTATCGGCCTCTATACCAAAACCCTCAAGGAGATCCAAGCCGTTCCTGAGGACGAAAGCTACCGTAAGGCTGTGGAAAGCTTCACGCGCCACAGGCTCAAGGTTTGCCAAGAAGAGGAGGATTGGGAAATGATCGAGAAGCGACTTGGTTGTGGCCAGGTGGAGGAGCTCATCGAGGAGGCTCAAGATGAGCTCAAGCTCATTGGGAAAATGATAGGTATCGATTTATTTGAAAATAATGAATTATGTGTGCGTGAAAAAGAATGTTGATTAAACTGCATTGATGTGCTTCTGTTGTTAATAGCGAAATGAGTTTACATGCTGTTATGGTGTGCCACTATGTTGTTTTTATCTTAATTGAATGTTAATTTAGCAGCAATAGGGTGTTATCCTCTTGTTTGGTATTTAATCTTCAATTTCTTTTGGTAAATTCCCCTGTATACCCATGGATTGGATGTTTCTTGGTACGTTCTAGTCTTGAGCTTATAAATAATTAGGATTGGTGAATTCATCTTGGCTTGAATAGAAATTTACGTTTTCCCTATTTTCTTACAAACGAAAGCAAAGTAATATGAAAAATATGATATATTTGACTGCTCATATAATCAGGAAAATAAAGTACAAGAACACAAAAAAGTTTGTGGCTTGGGAAGATGCTTTTGTTTCTGTCCTTAGATAACGTGCCATGGTCTAGAGAGAAGCCATTACCAAATGGCTGCTTGTATAAAGCTTGACCTTATATACACGTCTGTTGAGGTTACCCGTTTCACTTGATCTGTTTTAACTTTTCAGATATTCCCTTGTTGCATTAATTTTGCATGTTTCAAGAAGCATTCCAACTTTCTTTTTCTTTTGAAGCAAACAGAAATATCAAAGTGTTAAATAAATAACTGTAGATAATATCAAATTAAAATGATCAACTGATGGTCATACAATCAAATTGCTTGGAAGATTTTTAACTCGAACATGAATTTCTTCTTCAGTGGTCTAGCGTGCATTTATATATAGGATAGTAGCCTGCGGGCCCTTTGGCTTTGATTTAAAACAAATACTAATATCCATATCAGATCAAAAATGATACACTAGGAACAATTTAACATTTAGTAAAAGCTAGTCCTGCTAGGTTTTTATACAATCCCAGTTTCATTAGCTTATTCTTAATATGGGTTCAGCCAAAAGCAAATTTTTGCTCTAGAGAATTTTTATATATTTCTCTTCCAGGCTACTTAATATAACCACAAGTTTGATTAACAATCTTTTGCAGTTGTGCGCAATATGTGAAGTACATGGAACAAAAATGACTTGCACATCTAGTGAGCTGGTGTACTCGTACCATTGTTGGAGCAGTTTAATATTCAATCTTATTGTTTTGTTCAAGGCACACCAACGTCTCTATTTTCCCTTGTGCACAGTGTATGTTTCTTACAAATATGGATGTGTTGGCATTATTATGGTTGGCAATTTATCAATGTGATAAGGACTATTAGATAGAGTAGTCATTATTCGCATTGATGATATCTCTTGGTTTCCTGTGTTGTCTTCACATGTTATGGTTGTAGTGCTCAAATTCATTTCAACTTTGAGCCATATGGTCCTAGATTTGTTCTGGCTAGTAAATTACTGGAATTCATTGAGAAGTTGGTTTTGCTCTTTGGACCAAATTCCTAAACTTAAAAGAGCTTAATCTAAAAATATTATTATTTGGGGCCTCAGATTATGATGTGAACTGAATTTCAGGTTTAATAATGCTAGGATTGGTCTAGGAATAACAACTTGAATCTAGGACAACCGATGGCTTTATAGAGTTGGTGTTTGTTTGTAGAGATCTATGTTCAAATAAGGATTCATGTCAGCAAGGGGCTTGGCGTAAATTTGAAGTTCTTCTAGCCAATATTTAATTTTTTTTTAGGGGAATAAAGAAGGCTAAAGTAAAACCATGTAAAGGAAAGGGGGCTAATAGTTGGAAGCGTAACACTCTTACATCCACCCACAATTAAAAAAATCCCTACACCTTATGGTGGTGTCGAGCAAAATGAGATATTTAATTTAAGTTTTGTGAATTTGGTTTATCTCTGTTTGGATTGATTACAGATGCAAGCTTGTATATTTATACCCCATGTCTTTTGTTACCATTGCTATATATTTTAACATTAAATTACATACGCAATGGAGCCAAAAAGATTTTCAATATGCAGATACTGTGATCCAATTTAGTATGCTTCTCCAAAGTGTCATTGTATCATTATTCTCATTTAGTTAACAGATCATCTCTTTTCCTCTTACCTGTCTTTTGTTAGTATAAAGTAACCAACAAATGTGATTTCAGTGGTCACTCATCAAAGTGTTAGGCATCAATTATTGATGGAAGATGATTGGTTTAACTTCCCTCCTATTTTTTATTGCAGAGTGGGATCCATGGGGTGTCCCTGATGATTATGAATGTGAGCTAATTGAAAATGATGCACCAATTCCTAAGCATGTTCCTCAACATCGACCTCCTCCTCTTCCCGAAGAATTTCACAAGACTCTGGAAGCAGTTATGTCAAAGCCTAAAGAGGATACTCCTGCAGTTAGCTCTGGTGAATCTCCATCAAAAGCATAACTTAATGATCTAGAGCCTCTGTCTGTCTTTTTATTTTTATTTTTAAAATTTTTTTTGGAGCTTTGGTTTCTCAATTTGTCTTTACTTTCACTTTTTCCTATCCTTAAGTTGTTTTCCATGGTATGGAGGTTTACTGAAGTAACAGGGTTTTGTTTAATGTAAGATGGTGTTGGATCTTATGCTTTAACTGAAACAGAAATGTGGAATAATCTTGCATGACAAGCAAAACCATGTGTCGTCTCATTGCTGTTGCTGCAACATTCCATGGTATGGAGCCTCCTGTTGTGTTATGTTGCTTAGTTGTAGCAACTTTTATTCCTGGATTTGCATAATAACTTATAATTCCATGCCATTATGCCCTTTGATGCATACCTAGAATGTTCTTGTTCACTCGGAATTTGAACCCAGATTCCCCGACTCCACATTGATGTTATATTATATATGGATTGTCTTATAGATTATTTATTAAAAAAATATTTGCATGATCGCTCTCCCCCTCTCCCAAGAGTTTTCGTTTTGCCATCTTTTTAAGATAATGACAGCATGCTTGTGGGGGGTTGAATTGGATGTCAATTGAATTTTCTAATACTTTAAAATTTTTTCCTACTTAAACAAAGTACAAAGGTAAGTCTAAAGAAATGCAAGTTCAAAACTTTGTTTGGGAGAATAATAACCAGCTTTCACAAACACAAATTAAGAATGATTGAAATATTAATCAATTTATAGGTGGGAAGTTGAGTTGGAGCTTGTAAATAAATCAAATTCAGTTTGAACACTAAAATAGAGTAAGAATTTAAGATGCTATAGATATAAACAGTTGAGGAAAAGGAGAATGCAAATTGTGATTTATTATGGTTTAGTTCCAATTACCTACATTTAGTTTTTGAGCAAACCACTTGAGATTTCTCCACATCTTTCAAATCTCCACATCTTTCACAAGTTTAAGCTAGGCACTTGTGAGTTATTACAATCACTCATTGCATCAGTGAGTTTTTTTCCTTGAGAATAACATCTCTTGTTTACAAGGGGTAGATTCTCAAGAGAACACCCTCTCTTAAATTATAAAGGGAATCTCTCCCTCATTTTTACAAATATTTTGAATAAGTAAATTATTTAACGAAAAATTCTCTCTAAGAGCTATAATAATTACAATGAAGCTCTAAAATTCACATGATGAAAATATAACAAAGATGGGCTCAACAACAATATTTTCATATAATAACTGTAGAAAAAATGCATATCTCATAACTTAATAATTTTTAAGCTTAATCTCTTGTTAAAATATATTTGGATTGTTATATTTATGCTCTATGGAGTGAAATAGCCACTAGACACAAGAACTAGTTGTTTATAGTTGATGCAAAGTGTGGGTGTATGAAGAAATTGAGTAAAAGCATATTTTTTCCTCCAAAATGCATTAAATGCACAGTTAGCGTCTAATTCAAGCTGTATTGTGCAAGGCAAAAAGGATTGGTTCATTTTTCATCAAAAACAAACGTATGCTCTCTCTAAAACAAGAGTGTATTGGGGGTCAGAAGCGCCTTGCTTCTCCTAGAGAACTCATACAAGCTTTTGTGAGACTAAAACAAGCTTGTATTGGTCAAGGCAGAATTTCTTATCTAAAAAAGGCATGTGCTCTCTTTAAAACAAGCGTGTATTGGAGGTTAGAAGCACCTTGCTTCTTTCTGTGAACTCAGACAAGCTTGTATGAGACTAAAACAAGTGTGTATTAGGTTTAGGACAAGCATATATTGGATATTTAGAATAGGAATGTGAGACATGCTGGTATGACCTCTGAGACAAGCGAGTTCTAGGTTTCGTGTATTAGTCCTATGATGCATTTTATGACTGAAGCACACATGTATGCATTCTCAGACATGCATGTATGAGAGACATTATAGCATATGAGAGACATTATAGCACAAAACTTAAGGCTATAACTCACTCAATACAACTCTAAATTTAGTAAATTATATATCTTTAGAAATCTCTTGAAGGAAGTGAGAGATATGACTAAAAATGTGACCATAGGTCAAGCTTGTTTTCTGCACAATTCACATTTTAAAGTTTAAATTTTAATTTTTCATAACTTCTTCAACTTAACTCCATTTTGGGTAAATAGAATATCTTTTAAAACTTTATGGAGCTAGTGATCAAAACATTTCAAAGTTTGTAATATAGATGATAAAGGCTAAAGAATATGATTGTGGAAAATTATATTTTACTATTTGTCACATCCCAAAATTTGATTTTTGAGTATTGTTTAGAGAGGTATTTAATTAATTTCCTAAAAAAATAAAAAAAATAAATTATCCCAAAATAAATTTAAGAATATGTTTTGATATAATGTTATGATCATCTTTCAAATCTATTGGGGGTGCATTTTAAATTAATTAGCAGTGGGGTCTATTAGAGTAATTTTAGCCCACTAACTTATTATATTTTTTTTTTATTAAAATGCATAAAAACCTCACCTCTTCCATACCTTTTGCGTAGAGCCGATAATTTGGGCAGGCCGAGCTTATTCGGGTCGGGCTTAATTCAAGTTGGGCTTATTCAAATCAGGCTTGAAGTATCTCAACCCTTCTAAGAAGCCCATATAGCCAAACCCAACCCTAACACCTATGGGCTTTGAAACTTTTTAAAATTATTTTTTCTTTATTTTTTGAACTAATTTTAATTTTTAAATAATTCTATTAAGTATAAAATATTATTTTAACTTTGATAGGTAATAAACAAATTAAGGGGGCATTATCACAATAAATCAAATGATATTTCAAGCATGATAAGTTTTCTAAATGATTTTGCAAACTTCCATCTTAGAAATTGAACATAAACTTGGTTATTTAGTTTTATCATTTTTGTTGTCATTGCTCTAGTTGATCAGGTTCTAGCATTAGTATTGTGTCAACTTGAAATTTTGAAGCTCTCTCAGCTAAGTAATAATAGACATTTTCTTAGATATGTTTAAAGTTACTGTTATTTTAAATGCTTCCTTATTTATTTATGTGTTGTCAAACTTATTTTGCTAGACAGCAAGAAGGATTAGTGGATTGCTGTGGAAGCTCATAAAGTATTTTGAGAAGAAAATGATAATAAGCTTTATTATTGAATCTTTTAAATTTTGATGATTGTTTATCAAATGTTTTGCAACTGTAGATGTTTACATTGTATTCATGAGGATTACTTGCATTTATCTAATGTGAAGTTATAGATATATGTACTTAGTCATATAATAAACAATTATATAACATTAGTAAGAACCTTGGTTGATACCGGGTTGTAGAAATTGTTGATGCATTCTATTAGTAAATATTGATAGATGTGACTTATCTAGTAATAAGAACCTTAGTTGATGCTAGGTTATAGAAATCGTTGATGCAATTTAGTTGAGTCATTGGTGTGATTCTATTAGCATGATTGTTTACGCAATCCATTTTGTGAATAAACATGTTTTCTTTTGTACTTCCTTACTTATTTCTCCTAAATAATTGTGTTATGGTGTTGGTTATATGTGACCAATTTAATTTGTTAAAATACTAAAATTTTCATCCCACTTGTATTTTGTTTTTTAAGAATTTTGTTTCTGGTCAAATAGTAGATGGGCAAGGAAAGGAAAAGCAAGGAATTGGTTTATATATATATATATATATATCCTTGTATGCTTTCTTTTGATGGAATGTAACTATTAGTAAAAATAATTTTTTGGCACTTCTTGTAAATAGTTGGTAATTATCAAACAATGATGTAAGAGTTTTTCTTTTATTTAAGTTACACACACACACATTTACTCATATACTCTTAATATTATTTTCCCTTTATTTCAATGTGATTGCGTTAAGCCAATAACTCCCTAATGAAACTTCATAGAGTTTGAGTGTCTTACAATTTTTGGTATCAGAGCCTTGTTCTTGAAACCAAACTCTTATTGTTTATAATCTATGGATTTTGATGAGCTATTTTGACGCTAGGTTTCTTATGGTTAGATGTTCATGTGAAGGTGTAAAAGTGTTTAAAAATGATTTATATGTGAAAACGGTGATTTAAGTTATGTTATAATACATACATATGCTATACTTTGATTTTTATTACTTTGACATGGTGGTTTGTGTTAATATACTTGAATAAACTATATTGGCTATTGAGATTTTTATCTCGCCCATAGTTATTTATATTTTTTAGGTTTTGGTAGTGGCGGTTCAAGGGGAAAGACATAGGCTGAGTTGACACCTCTCACTAAAGCCTTTTTATAAGAATTGGTGTAATGAATTTGTATATTTTTAGTTATGAACTTGTGTATAAGTTGCCATAGGAATTGAGTACATGTGCATTATATTGTGTTTAGTAGTTTTAGTTCCCTAGCTCCTGTGTATATGTGTGTACATGATGAAAATAAAAGCGTGGACTAGTGGATGGTTGGTATTATGTAGGTATGATGAATGCTTGATATACATGAAGGGTGATTTAGCCTTAGTTAAGAGTTAAATGAGAATGTGAATTTTGCCCAAATGAGAAATATGGGCGGTTTACAGGCCAATTGTGTATATGTATGATATATTGCCTATGTGATTGGTCAATCAAGTATATATTGTCCATTTAGATGTGGTCAAAGCCTTAAAAGCAGCTAATGACATACGATTTCAATTGATGATGCTCAAGTGGTAAATTTTGACATAAAATAGTTAAAATGCACTTAGGTGTTCAATTTTCAAACAGAATATCGAATTTAAATGAAACCAGTGTCATTAGTTAGATTATGAAGCAAGCTTTATGTGGGCACTTGAACAATCCTAATCGAACATTGGATGCGAAAATAGTGCACATCTAAAATTCACACTAAAAACTGCTACATGCCACAATGTATGGCATAAACTGGGCAACTGTGGTCTTTGTGCCATATGTCACAGCACATGTGGCACGTTGTAACATCCTGATTTTTATATAATAAAGAAATTGTGGAATTTAGGTTTTGAGGAAAAAAATGATAATAATAGGAATTTATATTATTTGAGGTTATTTAGAAATAATATTATGATTAGGTATTTAATTATGAATTTAAAAATTTAAATTTAAAACCAGATAAGCAATATTTAGTTAAGATATAATACATAAATAATTTTTTTATGTGTGTGTTAAAAAAAAAAAGAGAAGGTAGAAGGAACAAAAAAAAGGGGGGGTGGAAGGTTGTTGTTTCTAAGTCCCACATTGATTAGATGAGGGAAGAGAAGAGGTGCCTTCATGTATAAAAAGGAGGGGGTGTGTGCATTAGGAAGCATGAGAGGCTAAGATGCAATTTAGAGAAAATTGCAACTTTGGGCCCAAAGGTTTGAATAATTAAATTCAAACCTATAGTTTTTTTTTAATATAATTTTGGGACTCACAATCCCATTTTTATATTATTTTTCTCTCTTCCTCTCATGTTGCTCGGCGTTTTCTTGCAAGGGGAGATTATTTTCTTTTTTCTTCAGGTATGTTCTAACTTTCCTGTTTAGATTAGCATTTAAAAATTTATTTAATTACAAAATTAATTTTATAGTTATTTTCTAAATAATATTAGCTTTCTAGTGATATGATTATTTTGTAGGATAGAGTAAATATTTTGATTAGGATTTTTCTATAGGATAGTTAATCTGATGATATGATGGATTAAAAATATAGGTTAAAATACTTAGGGATATAGTAAATATTATAGAATATTTTCTTAAGGTTGAAACTCATGTTTAAGAACTTTTGAGTTAAAATCTAGATCTATATGGTTGAATTTATGTGGAATCTGAGATGTAGGGATAAATCTATGATTATTAAATATTTATTTAAGTATGAATAGGTATTTTTGAGGTTATAGAAAGGTGATTTGAGGCTTCAGGATAATTCTAAAATTTTTAATTTATTTTTGGATGAATTTTTAGAATGTAGAAGGATGAAATTGTGATACTAGAAGTGAATTGAGGATAAAAAAAAATAGTTCATTAGGGTACGAGAATTTTAGAAAAGAATTTGGGAAGTTAAATAAGGCATAAATCTTAAATTAGTGTTAATATGGACTATAGATTTAAGACTTTCTAACTCTTTAAATTAGAGTTATTTATTTTAATGTAAAATTAATATATAGTATTGTGAAATAATTATGTAGATTATATTGACAAAGATAGTGGTGAAAAAGGAGTTGTGAAGGGGAACTTGTTATTCAAGACACAAGGTAACCATTATTAATGTGTTGTGATGAGTGTGTTTGTGAATGGTTATGTGTTGTTTTGTTGTTTGGAAAAATTATGAATTATTGAAAATAAATACTGTATATACTTGTTTGAAATTATTGCCAAGTGGGTTAAAAATTTATTTTTGTTTATCATGATGAGATATTATTGTTCGGATATATTTCTGTTTGGATATTTGAATGATGCATGACTTGTCAGGGTATTTTAATGTATGGTGTTAATGGGAATTTCTGTTCGGTTAATTATTACCACGTGGTAAGCCCTCATTGGACCCAATGAGTGGCGTGTCGCTTGGTCCAACTCACCTTTGGCCGGGTGATTTGGCGTCCGAGCATGGTGAAAGGAGGATATAAGGTGCAGTCATGCAATTAAATACTTGTTCGGTTTGTTTGAAAATATTGTTCGGTTAAATGTTTTGTGTGCCCACTTAGCAATCGCATGATTAGTTACATCCGCATGCATCATTACATATTAATTTTTGGTTACTGAGACTTTTAAGTCTCATTCCCCGTGGTTAATATTTTTACAGGAGCGAATCCGGCCGAGAAAGCACCAGAGGTGTAATTATGGTGTATGAGACACCATCTTTTACGTTGCCTCTTATTTTGGATTATACAATATATCTTGTGCCAACTTAGGACATATCTTGTCTATGGAGCATGTAAACTCTAATCCTTTTTATTAAATGCATTTATATGTCCAAGAGGATTATGTCTGTCCCTTTTGATTCATGACCTAATTTAAATAACATGCTATGAGGATCATGTCTGTCCCTCATGGTTCTAATTGCTTTTTGAGATATTTTAAGACCTGTGGTATATTGTCTTGGATGTATCATGGTAGAAATTTTTCTACCATGATAAGGGTATGATAAGGGTTCAAAAAAAAAAATGATTTCTTGAATTAATAACTTGCGAAAAATCGGTTTGTAAATTTGAGGGTGTTATATATTGGTATCAGAGCATATAGTCGGTTGGCAATATACATTGTTATGGTGCTTCTCATTGTATGGCCATGATATAGCTAGGCTAATTTTATTATTTATATCTTGTATCCTTTAGGAGGGGAGAGAAAATGCCTGTTACTCGTGGTAACCCAGGATTCCAACATGAGCACCTGCCACCGCCACTGCCAAATGAGGAGCCTGACTTGGCGGAATTAAGAATGCTTGTAAAAACATTAACAGACAAGGTTCAAGGATACGAACAAGAGTTGACGGAGCTAAAGAGGCAAAAGGTAACTGAAAATGGAGATAGGGCTCATGTTGAGAGTCATGTGGGGGAAGGCAGTTCCTCACATCCTGCCACTCTGAGAGATCATGAGTCTAGAAGGAAAGAAATTAGGCAGGAGGAACAGAGAGCCCCACCGACCATTACTGATGTGTGGGAAACTGTTAGGAAGTTTAACCCTCCTACATTTGATGGTAACCTTAAACCATCCGTGGTAGAGGAATGGGTGAAGAGACTCGAATCCATCTTTCGAGTAGTCACATGCACCAGCAATCAAAAAGTACAAGTAGCATTAGTGCTCCTAGTGAAAGGAGCAAGAGATTGGTGGGAGACAGCAGGGCCCAGGGATGATTCTACACTCACCTGGGAGGAATTCAAGGAAAAATTATTCAGGCATTACTTTCCATCAGAGTTAAGGTCTGAGAAGGAAGCGGAATTCCATGCCTTTAAGCAAGGGAACCTCGATGAGGACACATTCATTGCTAAGTTTCAGGAGTTATCTAGATACTCCACGTACCTGCAGTATAGGGATGATTCCGAATGGAAGGCTAAGCGCTTATTGGAGAAGGCTAGACCAGAATTGAGGGAACAATTGGCTCATCTAGATATCCGAGATTATGATGAAATGTGCATAAAACTACAAGTAGTAGCTCGCAGTAAGAAGGAGGTTGAGAGAGAGAAGAGGGGTTATTCATATAGTAGACCCCCAACCTACCCTCGACCCACCGGAGGCATTATGAAGAAAAACCATCAGGGTTCGAGTAGCTCATGGAACCAAGGAAGGCAGAAGGGTCCATTTCAAAGGGGCCAAGGACAGAGGAGCTATCATAGTAGTTATTACGGGTCACAGAGGAGCCCAACAGTATCTACCCCTGCCCCGAGTATAGCGAGCTCTCAACAGTGCACTAAATGCGGGCGTCGTCATTTCGGACAGTGCTGGATCTGTTACATTTGTGGGAAACCCGGTCACATTGCAAAGTTTTGTGGGGACAACCAGGGCTCAAATATGAAGAACCCTTCCCAACATCCTACTGTCTCTGGTCGTGTGTTTGCTCTTACTCAGGACACCATGAACTCCCCAGATGCCATTAGAGGTAACATCAAAATCCTTCATCATGATATTGTTGCACTATTTGATTCGGGTGCTACACACTCTTTTATTTCTGAAACTTGTGTAAAGAACCTTGATTTGCCTGTGTGTATTTTACCGTTTGATATGAATGTGTCTACTCCTGCGGGAGAATCTGTGAGGACCGCTAAGGCATGCCTTAACCTAGTAGTCGAGTTTAAAAATAGGAAAACAACTATGGACTTAATTATCCTACCACTGAGAGGTATGGATGTAATTGTGGGAATGAATTGGATGGCTGCAAATGGTGCTATCCTAGATTGTAGAGAGAGGAGTGTGTCTTTATCTTCTTTGTCGGTGACCCCAGTCGAGACTCAAGATCATGTTTTCTTGTCGGCGGCGCAAGTTGATAGATGTATGAAGAAGGGTTGCCAGGCCTACATGGTTTTCTTCTCTATCCAAGCTGAGATTGATGAAGGCGTGAAGAATATCCCAATTGTCAAAGAATTTGCGGATGTATTTCCAGACGAAGTCTCCGGTTTACCCCCAAAGCGCGAGGTAGAGTTCTCAATTGAATTGGTACCCGGTACAGGGCCAATTTCTAAGGCTCCTTATCGGATGTCCCCTTCAGAGTTAGCAGAACTGAAAAAGCAAATCGAAGAGCTACTTGAGAAGGGTTTCATCAGACCGAGTGTTTCACCTTGGGGATCTCCAGTCCTTTTTGTAAAGAAGAAGGACGGAAGCCTCCGATTGTGCATTGATTATAGACAATTGAACAAAGTAACCATCAAGAACAAATATCCACTTCCGAGAATCGATGATTTGCTGGATCAGCTTGTGGGATCCGCAGTTTTCTCAAAGATTGACTTAAGGTCAGGGTACCACCAATTGAGAGTGAGAGCAGAGGATATACCTAAGACAGCATTTCGGACGAGATATGGGCATTATGAATTCATGGTGATGCCGTTTGGACTTACGAATGCTCCTGCGGTATTCATGGATTACATGAATAGGATCTTTCGACCCTATTTAGATAAGTTTGTAGTAGTGTTTATTGATGACATTCTTATTTATTCAAAGGATGAGGAGGCTCATGGTGAACATTTAAGAATCGTCTTGCAAGTTTTGAGGGAACATAAGCTTTATGCCAAATTAAGCAAGTGTGAATTTTGGCTCCAAGAAGTAAAGTTTTTGGGCCATGTTGTGTCCAGAGATGGAGTTGCGGTGGATCCTAGCAAGATTGATGCAGTGATGAAGTGGGAACAGCCAAAATCTGTTACAGAGATACGAAGCTTTTTAGGTCTAGCAGGTTATTATCGTCGCTTTATTAAGGGATTTTCGCAAATTGCGATGCCCTTAACTAAGCTAACTAAGAAGGATGCCCCATTTATTTGGACTGACAAATGTGAAGCTGCTTTCCAAGAATTGAAAAAGAGGTTAACCACTACTCCAGTATTGACTATTCCTGACCTGTGGTGCCGTACACTCTGTACACTGATGCTTCTTTAAAGGGTTTAGGATGTGTTTTGATGCAAAATGACCGAGTGGTTGCCTATTCCTCCAGACAGTTGAGACCACACGAGGAAAATTACCCTACTCATGATTTGGAGTTAGCTGCAGTTGTGTTTGCTCTAAAGATATGGAGACACTACTTGTATGGATCTAAGTTTCAAATCTTCAGTGACCATAAGAGCCTGAAGTATTTATTTGATCAAAAAGAGCTTAATATGAGGCAGCGACGATGGATGGAATTTCTAAAGGATTATGACTTTGAATTACATTACCATCCGGGTAAGGCTAACGTGGTAGCTGATGCCTTAAGTAGAAAGACTATTCATGCTGCACATTTGATGGTTCATGAATATCATTTATGGAACAGTTTTCATGATGTTCCAGTAGATGTGATTGAACATCAAATGGCCGCACTCCAGGTAGCAGACTTTGAGAGCAAATTCTGGGAAGATCTCAGAGTCTCACAGCAAAGTGATGACTACTTAAGGAATATAAGGAAGGAGATAGTGGTAGGTAAGGCCCCAAATTTTACCATCTCTGAGGACACAGTGATGAAGTATAAAGGTAGAGTTTGTGTACCTAATGATCCAAGATTGAGGAATATCCTTTTAGAAGAAGCTCATAGGAGCAAATATACAATTCATCCCGGTATAACTAAAATGTACCATGATTTGAAGCGAGGTTGGTGGTGGCCAGGAATGAAGAAAGATGTAACTGAATTTGTTTCTAGATGTTTAACGTGTCAGAAGATAAAGATAGAACATCAGAAGCCAGCTGGAACACTGCAACCGTTAGATATTCCAAAGTGGAAATGGGATGATATTTCTATGGATTTCATCACTGGACTGCCAAGAACACCCTCGAGTAAGGATGCTATTTGGGTGATAGTAGACCGACTCACCAAATCAGCTCACTTTTTGGCGATCAAGTTTACCTCTACATTAGAGAAATTTGCTGAGATATACATTAAGGAGATAGTTAGACTTCATGGTATACCCTCTAGAATTGTGTCAGATCGTGACCCAAGGTTCACTTCAAACTTTTGGGGTGCGCTACAGAAGGCTATGGGTACCAGACTGAGTTTTAGCACCGCATACCACCCCCAAACAGATGGACAAACAGAGAGGACGATCCAGACTTTGGAGGACATGTTGAGAGCTTGTGCCATTGAACTACCAGGTAGTTGGGATAATCATTTGCCATTAGCTGAATTTGCTTATAATAACAGCTATCATTCTAGTATTGGGATGGCGCCTTATGAGGCCTTGTATGGAAGGAAGTGTAGATCGCCTTTATGTTGGACAGAATTAAGTGAGAGGAGTATCATTGGTCCAGAAATTGTAGAGCAAACCACCCAGAAGATTGCAATGATTAAGCAAAAATTGCTAACCGCTCAGAGCCGACAGAAGAGCTATGCTGATAAGAGGAGACGGCCGTTAGAGTTTGAAGTAGGAGATCATGTATTTTTGAAGGTTTCTCCAGTGACAGGCATTGGTAGATCCATTAAGGCAAAGAAATTGACACCTAGATTTATGGGCCCGTATGAGATCTTGGAGCGAATTGGATCTACTGCATATAGAGTTGCATTACCTCCACAGATTGCAGGTATCCATAATGTGTTCCACGTATCACAGTTGAAGAAGTACAACCCGGATCCCTCCCATGTTATTGAACCTGAAGAAGTAGAATTGAGGGAGAATTTGACCTTTAGATCCGAACCGGAGCGAATTGAGGACTTTAAGGACAAACAACTACGCAATAAGACCATCCGACTCGTGAAGGTGATTTGGAAGGGTGGAGCCCTAGGTGATGCTACTTGGGAGACCGAG